AGGCACATTATTGAGAAAATGTGCTAGTCTTGAAGTGCCCTCTGCTGTTTTGCCAGAATGCTGCAGTCACATGCAGTTAGAACCGATCTCAAAGTTCTTCATTAAAAGCCTCAATTAAAATAATGTTCAACCAATAGATTAAGTACTGATATGTCGTTCACTGTGGACTTGTAAAACAATAGTTTACAACTTGCTGACAGTAGGAGCGCAATGCCTGTTCGCAGGGAAAGGAATGAGGGGTCTTTATTGTTGCTCTTTGGCAAGGACATGGCTCTTTAGTGAGATGGCCTTTTCGTGGAGGTTCTCCGGTATTCATTAGGATGGCGACTTGCCCGGATTTCTACTGTCTAAACCCAGAGAGTTTTTAAAAATACAGTTTACATATTTTTTTAAAAGTAGTTAGAACTATTACTGGTTTGCACTACATTTTTAGAAAAAGATCCCTGGGTCACTAGAGGATTTTGGTTCTGTGGCTAAAAGGTCTCTGCAAGTCAGATGCAAATCTAAACTTCCAGGAAGCTGCCTTAAGATTCTCTAGCAGTGGACAGACTTTGAAGTTACTTTTTTTGCTAAGACCCTAGCGCTTTTGATCTACCAGAGCCAACTAGATAATTTAGATGTTACATAATACTTCAGATTTGTTTGTCCACGCTAATCTTGGTGCTTTCCAAGTTGTTTAAAATGAAGTGAAAGCTTTTGTAAGTCATTTTGTAGGAGATTTTCATAGAATAACTAGATGAAATGGGGCATCTGGAATCCTGAGCTTGCAAGTTGGAGAGTGTTTGCTGAGGTATCTGTAAATCCAATATTGCCTTTTATGAAATTTGAAATGCACCCATTGTAAGAGGCACTGTTACTTTATGCTTCGTATGGGAAAAAGTTTCCATCTCTAATACTAAGATACTATCATACTAAGATACTATTATAGTACATCTGATTTCAGCAATGTTAAAATGTGAGGGTAAAAGTCAATCTTGGAATCAATGAAACACTGTAGTTTCCATGAACTAGACCTTGTGCTAATATAATCTTTTTTTCCCATTAAAAATTTTTTTCTTTTCATTTCAAATTAATATGAGGACACAAATGTTCAGGTTACATTATTTTTGATTCTAAGGTAAAGTTCAAGTTGTAGCTGAGCTCTTCATCCATATAATCTTAATTTACAATTCATACTTTAGGAGTTGGGATTTAAAATACATAATTCTTAGCTCATAAATTTTGTTTTTTTCATCTCTGTTGCTATTTGGCTTTTACTTCATATTATTTTAATGAAATCACCACAAAAGTCAGCATTTTAGTGGTGATATTATTTAAATTCCAGTCTGGAACTTTGGGAATTGCACATCCTTATTTGGAAATGTCCTCCCCTCCCCACCCCCTGAGTCTTTTTTTTCTTTTCTTTCTGAGCTTCCTACCTTAATGAAATGCTGTACTTTTTTTCTTGGAAAAAAGAAGGAAGAAAAAGACATTTTGACTCGACTCCAGAATTCCCTCATTCAGGCACTTTCTTTGGGTTAGGACGAGTAGTTCACTTGCTTTGATGAGATGGAGCCCATGGTGATGTTAACTTATCTCTCATAGTGCTTGGCACAGAACCAATGCTTACTAAATCTTGGCGACAACAATTCTTGATGTTAAGAACTCGTTCTAAATATGAGAGTGGAACCAACAATTTTGCTGGGAACTCCTTGTGCCCAAAAGTTTGTGTCATTTCTTATTATCCTAAATGATAGGAGTCCATTTAAGGTTCATTTATACCATGCATCTAAGGAGAAAGGGGATCCATGTGCTTTGGCACGTTGCAGCATACACCATAATGGAAAACCAAGAGTCAGGGCTGTCTCTGTTAGTAGCAGGTGTAGCATACCCTACGAGAGTAGGTCCTTATGTAGCTGTCCTTGTCATAGCTATCTAGCTTACCTCAGCCCATGTCCTAAAATACAAGAGAAGGGATTTGAACTTTTTATGTCGCTATATGAATCGTTAATTTAATTACTGCTATCTCTGCCCTATATCAGATATGTGACTATCAGATAAGTTTATGTTATAGTTGTATATCATCAAAATAGCGAGACAGTTATTTTAATCTTTTTTTAATTAAAAAAACTGTTTAATTCAACTGAATAGTCATTGTGGTAAAAGGGTCCAGCTAGTCTTAGTCACTAGCATTATTGTGGATTCATAGCTTCTTATGAATGAAGATTCGTATGTGTGGACTGATGGAAAATGATAGCAAAATATACAATCTGCTGAAAATGTGGGGAATATATTATATATAA